GTATCATACATGGCTTCGCACTGCAAAGGAGCTAGGAGTGAAAGTTTTCAAGGAAGTGAAGCAGATGTGGTCCTATGACTCAACACGGTTGTTCACAAACAACAGAAATATGAAGTGGAAGAGTCAAGTCCACGCAGCTACGACCGTAAAGACATGGGATGAGAATCCTCTTCCAAAAGGAAAGCTGAGACCTCGAGCAAGGCAGGGTAGAAACAGGTTCAGCAGCCTGAGTATGGGTTGAATTAGTTCGGTAATTAACTCGAACCTTGAGGACAAGGTTCTTTCGAAAGGGGAAGGAATGATACGTATAGATATATTAGAGTTTCCATTATTTGAATTAGTTAGTAGTGTTGAGCAAGTCGGTAGGTAGTTAGAGAGTCATGTGTTTGTTAGAGTATTTAGGAGTGTTTTGCATAATAGGTGGAGTGGGTTTAGTGGGTTTAGCATCTTATGGTTAGTTGGTTAGCGTAGATAGACGTGGGATTAGCTCCACTTAGATAGGCTTTTTCAATTCCAGTTTTGTGTATTTAAGTCGAGAACGTAATGGATAATGGGTAAGCGAATTTCAGAAAAATAGAAACCCTGGCCATTCTCGCCAAGAAAGGAGAAAACTAGTTCAATCCCGCCAAGAAAAGGGATCCATTCACTCATACGAATTCAACACGTATCAGAGGCCAACTTAACGAATCCTTTCGGCCTCTCATGTTGCTGTCCGCCACAATCGGGTCGGGTTTAGATCAGTTCAGGTTAATCAAGGTCGGTCAAAGTTCTGTTTGGTCAGCTCTGGTCAGACCGATCAACCTAGGTTGGAGCCATTTGGCCTTGCCTGAATACGATATCCACCCACGGTCAGCTCCGGGTGGACCAGGGTTGGCTCACATCTCATCCTGGCCTACGAAGTTGAGTTCATCTTCCTTCCTCGAGCGGTTCAAGCACAGCGACCCCATTCCTCTGCCGTGTGGGTCCTTGAACATGGGCTCGCCTTCGAAGGCGCTGCCTTCCACTTTCCTCGGGTCTCCATCATCTCCTGTCCAAGAGGAGTAGGTAGCAAGCCCGACTAGCTATCCGATTTGCTTTGCCCGTGGCCCACACGACGAGGGTTCCCGTGAACCGCGGTGCATGCGTCGGCTTGAGTCAGCGCTGTCGCCAATACCCGCGCCTCCTCTGCTGCCGCCGCAGCCTGGACTAGCGCTGCCGACGCCTTGGCCTTGCTCCTCCACTACCACCGCAGCCCGGCTGGGTTCAGTCGCTGCCTCAATCGACAACTCAACTGTGTTGCCCGCCGCGACAAGCTTCTCCAGCGGGTACGCGGTCGGCTTTCCATGGTCGATTATTGCGATTGCATCCACCATCATTCACCCCAACCACTCCATGGCGGCTTCGAACTAGTTCCCAATCCCGCTCAGCTGAGCGCTCAAGTCCGATAGCCCAATCGCATTTTGTCTCATGGCTTACTGAGCTTGGGAGGCAGAAGCTGTCTGTTTCGTCATCATGTCCGTCAGGAACTACGCCTAAGCTGTCTGTTTTGCCATATGTACGTCAAGAACTGGTGCATATTTTTGTGCTTGGTCACGTCCTTGATTAAGGTCGCCTCCTTCTGTGTCTTCTGCGGTTTTTCAGCCATCATCACGAACCCCACGCCAACCAGACTCTGATACCAATTGCAATTTGCAAGACACACGGACCTAGGCGTGTACGTCTAGGGCTCATGGATCGTGGATTTGATTGGGAGAATTGAGAATTGAGGAAGAAGAAAGAAATCGATCTCTAAGGAAGAGGAGTGGCTGATGGCTGCTAGAGGAAAAGAGGGAGAGATCGAGATTGATGGGGGTAGAGAGAGATTTAGGTTTTAGGGAATATTGTTCTGTTATTGTCTAATGAGTAAAACCCCACCAATAGAGATATATAAACTCATGAATTCTCTATAACTACCCAAATTAATCCCTCCTAACAAATTTACCCCAAAACGATGATCAAATATCCGAATAATCATAAAACGACAAATAAGTACAAAACATTAAATGTGTTAGAAACCTTGTTTCTAACAATTGATCTATGGAAAAAACCCTCATTCCCTCCCCTTTCTGCTCCGCTTCCACCCATCTCCTTGGCTTCTTTATCCCCTTCAATCTCAATTGTAAAAATCTCTTTCCTCCCCGTTCTCCTCTGCATCCTCCCCTCTACTTGGTTCCTTTTCGTCATCAATTCCAATAAAAGAGTAAGTAATTTCACGAAAAAGCTATTCAACTTCTCCATCTTAGTCCCTCTTTGAACGCCCTCAATGGATGTTGGAAGTCGAATCGAAGTCAAGAGAAGATACGCCGACGAATGACAATGACGATTGATGAAAGGAAACCATTTTATGTTCTCTTCCTACTCCACCGAGTCAGAAGGGAGATGCAACCTCCTCAGATCCCCAGGTCATTCTGAGAGCAGGTGGTCAAGTTTTCCTTTCCCATAACAAGGATCCTTATTCATGTGCACCTCATCCTTTCCCCGATGTTTCATCACCCAATATTTAAATAAAATTACTTTAATTTTTGGATTGCCACGTCAAACACTTAGTAGTTACACATCACGGTTGACTACCACTTATGACAAATTTAACGAAAGTAGATGTGAAGTGACCAACTCTGATTTAAATCTAAAAAGATTAGTGACCAATAAATAAATAAAGACTTTTCAAGTGAAACATAAAAGGAATTAATAAATTGAGTGATCAAGCTTGCATTTACCCTAGAGCTATCTATCTATCTATCTATCTATCTACTATCTACACATAATATAATACACCGAAGGGAAAAACGGGAGCCCCATTTCAAATTTCCTGCAACGAGAGTGAAAGTAGGAAGGACATTTTGGTCTTCACAATGACTTTTTTTTATTCATTAAAAATGACATGTACTGGGATTTGAACCATGACCATTTTAAAGAAAAGCAAGGATCATAACCAATCACACTAAGTACATTTGTTGTATCTTTTTAAATTAAAAACATATAATAGCAGGGAGGACAAAACCCTTCCCCCATTTCAAATTCTCTGCTCCAGGAGCGTTTGTAGGAAGGGTAGAATAGGGAGTGTCAATTTTTTTCTCTTTCCTTTGTGGAACGGGCCAACTTACCGTACACATGCGGATTTAAACGGGTCCGGGAGTGTCAATTTTTTTCTTTAAGCCCTTTTATTTCTCCCTGGTGATAAAATATATATGAAAAGGCAAAAACAATACTCATTTTTATTGCTAAAAATAAAAAATTTAACAATAAACTAATGCATGGTATCTAATGGGCTAACCGCTAACCATAAAATAAAAGAGTTGAATGGGTCTGACCTACACGGGATTTGGCCATAAAGTAAAACAAATGAACATCATTGGTTTGTCATTCTAAAACAAGCTATTTTCTCTGGCATAATATATATTATGCTATTATTTTATATCTTAGTGGCTAAAATATAATGTATTTTAAAGTTATTCAATGGTTCAACCTCGACCAACCCAATTAGTCCAATTTTTATCATTTCAAATAGGAATGGCAAGGGGGCAGGTCCGAGGCGGGTATCTCGATACCCATACCCGCCCCATGGCAGGTCGGGTCCAGGTCGGGTAATTTATCACGGGGCGCGGGTAGGGACAGGTCGACCCGTTGGGTATGTAATTATGCGAAAAACATTAGAAACATTCGTTATTTTCATTAAAAGACCAAGAAAGAAACCATAATATGATAAAATGTAGTTAAATTATTGAAGAAATTGAGGTTTTCACTTATTTACAACTTTATTATAGCTAAAATATAATGTAATAAGAGGAAAATCCTAAGTAATTTGACTAAGATTATATGTAATATAGGCAAGAACGGGTCGAGAATGGGGCGGGTCAGGGCAGGTCGGGTCGATGAGAGGTACCCATGCCCGCCTCGCCCCGCCTACGGGGCGGGTTAGACCTGCTCCAAAACAGGTCAAACAGGTCGGGTAAATCGGGTCAGGTCGAAATTGCCATCCCTAATTTCAAATATATATTATATAATTATTTGATATCGTAATGATCAAATTATAGTGTATTTTATAGGGAATCGTTTGGTATTTGTTAGTAAAAAACTAAACAGAACGATCTATTTGGTTATTTTAAACATTAAAACGATCCTAAAAAATTTTCAGTTCCTTTTGAATTTTTATGGTTTTATTCTCGAATAAGTGATGTGAAAATGGCGAATTGCAGTCATCTCTTTTCTTTCACTATTTTTTATTTTCCAATAGAAAGTTTAAAAGTAAAGAATAATTAGAATTTGGCATGGGTCGGTCAAACATGCTGAATTTCAAGTTTTGGCCCGTTTTGATCAAGTCTAATTTATAATCACATGGTTCCCTGATACCCGATAAAAATCTCAATCCAAACCAGTTTGGCAGGTGAGTCTGTGTTTAGTGTTTACCACCATTTTCTAGGATACGACAACGGCGGTTCCTATCCCAAATTGTGTTATTCGTTCTTGATTTCCTTAGATTTTATCATGGCCTAACAAAAACCAGAAAGCACAATGACGACAAGATGAAAGTTTTATAAAGCAAATTAATCGACCAACGGGCCGAGTAAAAGCTAGCAACGATTGTGAGATGCTCATTTCCCGAAAACCGACGGGATAGGCGATTTTTTATTCGATTTTCTGGAATTCGGTTTCTATAAAACTTACTCCACCTCATCATATTACCAGAAACAATATTGTTTCACAAGGTAACATGTACTTGATTTTGGTTCATAAGGCCGATTTTTTATTCATTGCATCATTCATGTCTCTTTCCTGCTAAAATTCACTATTTTTATCACGAATTTCCCAAAAAAAACTATACAACAATAAGCTATACACCCCATTATATTATCAAATTTCATACCTCACCTTCCTCCGGCCAACTGGCCGGCCCCACACTAGTACTTATAATACGTTGAAGGAGAAAAAAGCTTCCCCATTTCAAAATCCCTGCTTCCAGAGCGTTTCTCGGAGGGGTATTTTTGGAAGTAGCGGCAAAAAAATTTCTCCGCATTCCATGTCTGCCCGGCCTGCACCTTGCCTGGGCTGCGCGCAAAATGTAAAAACAAACAACTGGCCTTCATTCCTGCCCATTTCATTTCTCCCTCCCAGCTCACTTTCACTGATCGTCGATCCAACCGCGAGCAACGCCAGACTAGGTATTCTCCGGTGGTTCAGTTACGGGCGGAGCAGCCAAAGGGTTCACGAAACCCCTTCTTCTCCTCCACCAAATTCCGATACAATAGCCTGCCGCCTAACTCCCATCATCTCTACCACGAGTCTGTCGAAGGAATTTCAACCACGTTGTGGTACGCCGTCGAAGCTAATTGCTTTAATTCCCGCATTTGTATCTGCTTCGAGCTCCTGCCGCGAAGGGAGGGAAGATGAACAAGTGAAGCCCCAGTTATCACACCAATATCTGCAATCGAATTGAAGTCATCATCCCAATTCCACAAAAAACAGAGATCGGGTAATTCCTTTAATTCAATCAAATCTGGGTGGAAAGTGTGGGAGAGAAAAAAAAGCTGATGTCTTTTGTGTTTAGTCCAGACGTAACATAGCCAAAGAGGCACGATGCTTGATCTTTTGCTCCCTATTCATGAAAATGGATACAGTTTGCTCGCTTCATCATCCGAGGTAATTGAAAGGCTGAATGCAGTTTCTTTTTTTTTTTGCTCTTTCGATTGCATTTTCTGGTTTTGGTAGCAACTCTTTCGAATGCACCCTCCGAATTGAGAATACCTATTTATTGCTCAACCAATTTGGGTGTTTAGAGTTTGAAACCCCAGTTCAGATAGATGCTCTGCATGCATCATCGTTGATGCCATCAGAGTGTGCATATTTTTCAAGAACAACATCTTTTTATTGGTTCTTACCCTGGATGTTGTCGATTATTTGCTGCTTTGTTACTTTTTTTTTTGTTTTTGGATAAATTTGCTGATTTATTATGGTTCCACTTCAGTCAGTGTGATATATTATGGTTCTTCGTCAATACAATTAGCTAATTTTTTTGAAATCATTGCTTTAACTTGTGTCTTTTCTCTATCCTAGGTTAATATCACCTCTTACAAACTAATTAATAGGAAAGGATAAAGGATAGAAAGAGGAGTGGGGAGACAAATGAAGTGACAAAAGCCTTATGAGGTTTGATACCAACCAAATATAACCTGAAACATGGTGCAGAAATTGGAACCTACAGCAGATATAATGTGTTGCGGACTTTGTTGTTTTTCTATTATGATGTTTAAATGTAGAGTGATTAATTTTCTTCGACTAACTCTAAAATGTTTATATATTATAGGAATTTGGCCACTAATTAATTCACCGAGCCCTGACCTTGGGTGAGTAGTTTGGATACTGATTGAAGATCGCGTAAGTTTTTCTCTTCCCTGACACCAAATGTGATACTTTTTCTCATTCATTAACATATATTTTGGTTTAGCGTTTGGTGGTTGGTGATTATGAGATAATTGAAGCTCACGTTATTCTAAACATCAAATCAATTTTGACCAGAGTTAATGTTGCAGTTGATCTTACTTCTATAGCTATTGTAGAGAATCCTTAAAAAAAATTACTTGAATTTGATTCATGACCATGTTGTTTCTCTGCTCCCTTAGCGGAAAATTTTGGATGTTATGAACCAACTATTTAGGAAAACTGCATTTCAAGAGAGCTAGGAGCAAGACCTGTACGCCCTTGCTTTGACTATAATACTGATCTCATAATCATCATGCACTACGCAGGGTTGAAAACCGGCATGCAAAAGCAATTAAATTCAGAGTGTTGTGATTGCTTGCTCTTTTGATATATGCTTGCTCTTTTCATATACGAGGTGGGTGCATTTAGTTGATGAATGAAACCGCTTTGTAAAAGAAATTGCAATTAGTTGGTCATATTTGCTTGCTCAAAATTAGTTTATGTACCCTTTTGGTGTATCGATTCTGATCGCAATTCTGATTGCTGGAGGATTCGTAGAATGAATGAGAAGTCTCCTCTCGCTCTAGTGAAGTCCTATCTCAGTGAAGGAAAGGTCATGTATCAGTGATTTCCTTTGACTTCTCCACTTTTGTATGTTATTGAAAGCAATTAATTTTTACCCAGAATACAAATTGGCCACTTTGTATTTAAGAGGTGTCCTGGTAGGATAGAAGTGGTATCTTGCTAAGCCTTTTTAGCATGTATGTCGTGGTTCTTGGCTCCACAGTAGAATAGGATTGGGAAGGTTGGAATTGGTATTCTTATTATTGGGATTCTCAGTTAAGGATTGCTATTGGGGTTTATGTTTACTAATGTTGCTTCGTTTTTTTTTATGTCAGGGGTTAACAACAAAAAGCTTTCAACCTTTTCTATCCAAACCTGCGATTGAGTTTTGTATTAGTGATTATATGCTTTGGTTATGGTAGAAGTATAGTTTATAATGCTCGCTAGCAGTTTTATGTATAGAAACTGTATTTGTCTCAGGCTCTCAGCTGATTTTTGTAGTATTTTCTACATGTGGTATGTTTGTTTTTTTCTATTAACCCATTTCTTGCTAAATGGATTATGCTCATATGCTGTATTGTTGTATAGTATTTTTGGGAAACACGTGATAAAAATAGTGAATTTTAGTAGAAAAGATACATGAACGATGCAACGCATCAAAAATTGTCCTTATGAACCAAAATCAAGTACCTGTTACCTTGTGAAACAATATTGTTTATGGTAATATGATGAGGTGGAGTAAGTTTTATAGAAACCGAATTCCAGAAAATCGAATAAAAATCGCCTATCCCGTTGATTTTCTGGAAATGAGCATCTTACAATCGTTGCTAGCTTTTACTCGGCCCGTTGGCCGATTAATTTGCTTTATAAAACTTTCATCTTGTCGTCATGATAAAATCTAAGGAAATCAAGAACGAACAACACGATTTGGGATAGGAACCGCCGTTGTCGTACCCCTAGAAAATGGTGGTAAACACGGACTCACCTACCAAACTGGTTTGGATTGAGATTTTTATCGGGTATCAGGGAACCATGTGATTATAAATTAGACTTGATCAAAATGGGCCAGAACTTGAAATTCAGCCTGTTTGTCCGGCCATGCCAAATTCTAATTATTCTTTACTTTTAAACTTTCTATTTGAAAATAAAAAATAGTGAAAGAAAAGAGATGACTGCAATTCGCCATTTGCACATCACTTATTCGGGAATAAAACCATAGAAATTCAAAAGGAACTGAAAATGTTTAGAATCATTTTAATGTTTAAAATAACCAAATAGATCTTTCTGTTTAGTTTTTTACTAACAAATATCAAACGATTCCCTATAAAATACACTATAATTTGATCATTATGATATCAAATAAAAGAACCCAACTATCCAATGTTGTTTATTCGGGTGGGTGCGGGTCATGTTTAAATTCACCTAATTAGTTGTAGTTGGCTGAATTTTCACCTAAAATTCGTACAACTCAGTAATGTCCTAAGAAATTCCAAAAGAAGTCTTGCCAAACTTTCTCAAAGGGGAGAACTTTCCATAATATTTTACATCATTATAGCTTAGTGTTATGTGTAGATGACTTATATCATAGACCTTCCACATTAAACCCGTCTAACTCGCCTAATGCGCGCCTATCTACACTAATTAACATGATGAGTCCTAGTAATAAAAAGAGTATCATGTTTGCTAGAGTAGCTTATCATAATGAAGCTTTCCCCTCTCTTCTTCTTAATGTCCATAATACAAATAAAAACGGTATCATGTTTGCTCATTGAAGCATTTGATGAACCACATAAGCATGAGAGCAGGCAACAAAGCTAAGATCAGAGATTCCATTCCATTATCAAATTTCATACCTCACCTTCTACCCGGCCAACTGGCCGGGGCCCACACTAGTTATTCTATATATTGGCTAATTCCCTTCGAGGGTTTGTGCTAATTCCTTTTTCTAAATTCTTTGCGATAATGGCCACTGCCGTCGAGAAGCGGGACAGGGAGGAGACCGGTGAAGGGCCAAACGGCGGAAGCGATGATGCCTCGAAGAAGCACCGGGGGGAAACCGATGTCGGAGCCGGCGGAGAAGGAGGTGGAAATTCTGCGGAGAAGGAGGAGGAGGTGTTGTGGATGAATTGTTTTTCGGAAATGTGGGAACCCATGACCGCCCGTTATTTAGTTCAGGATTTCCACCGGTTGGTTACCTTTATGCAAGACAATACCCCTATCCCCGATGTAGGTATTCTGTTCCTAGTCGTGTTGTTGTGCGATCGATTCTTATAGTCCTGGATTTGATTTCGTATCTCTGTCTACACGGAAATCCCAACCTAGGTTTGTTGATTAATTTTGTAATGCATATGACTTCTGGATTACGATCTGCTTGTTGATTGTGTGTTTCCTTCCCACTTAGTTTGCTGCTACTGCGTTTGTTTCTGTACCGAATTGCTTTTCTTGAAACCAAGATTACCTCCTTTCAAGTACCTGACATGGCATCCGCTTCTTGGTTAGCTTGTGTTCATTGTTTAGTTTGTGTCTGATTTAGCAGCTATGAACGTTACACATGGTGATGATGTCCTTGGTTAACTTGTCTTTCCTTTGAGATCCCCGTCGAATGCTAGCTGCCCTGTTTAATTAGATGGGGAAGGAAAGGAACTTGATGGGTTGCTTTAGTTTATGCTCTACTCCTACTCCCTGCTGGACGGTACTGACTTTATACCATTTCATTCGGCTGCTTCCTCTCTAATGTTCTTTTTGCAGAGACAGACTAGGGGATTGCTGGATTTGGTGAAGAAGGGTCACCCGGAGCCGGAGAAAATGATTGGTTGTGGGGTCGAATCATTTCAAGTCCGAGAACACCCAACGTGTACCAGCTTCCGCACCTTCTTTCTTGTAAGGAAAGATGGTTCCAGGGAGGATTTCTGCTTCAGAAGCTGTGTTAACAAAATCCTTCCCTTGCCCAAAGATTTGAGAGGCCATGGTATTGGCATTGATGCTGTTTGTTTATGCCATTTGGGAGGCTGGGATACTGTGAGGGCTGCTAAGGAACGAGAAGAAGGAGTCAGAGAAATAATAGCTCGGCGTGTGGAGGAGATATTGGCTACCTATTTCAGCTTTGGTCCATCCAAGTTCCAGGATTCCTCTCATATGTTTCATTATTACTACTCTCTGCTTCTTGTTTCGCCGCTTAATCAGGCGATCAATGAGGTAGGTTATCACGCCTGAGGTGTTCCTTTCTTTTTTTGTGTTGATTTGAGTGCCTGCCGTCTGCAACCTGTTGGTTTTGCTGTTGTTTGTTTGGGACTGTAGAAAGCGCACCTTATGTTACTAGAGTTGCTAAAGAAGGGCGATCCAGAGTCGGAGAGAAAGATTGGTTCTGGGATTGAATCGTTTCAAGTCCGAATCCATCCAGCGTACGGCAGCGAGTTGCGAAGCTTCTACCTCGTTAGGGGAGATGGTTCCATGGAGGATTTCTGCTACATTAAGTGTGTTGACAACTTCTTGCCCTTGCCAGAGGAACTCAGAGAAACAATTGCTGGTCCTTGCAGCTGTCATCATAAAGAAGACGGCCAAGATGGAGTCACCTTGGGTATGAGCAGATTTCGGAGCTCGGCTGAGCTGGTTTCGTACTTCGAGAAACTCTTCGTAGACTGGCCGCTTAATACTCCTTTTACCTCTGAGGTATGCACACTCGAAGATTTTGGATGGTTGCCTTATTCTTTTAGGACTAATGAATTGTGGTTCGACTGTATATAGGTTGACTACAAGATGGTGTTCGATTTGCTGAAGAAGGGTGATCCAGAGTGGGAGGAGAAGATGAAGCCTGGTTCTGGTTCGGGGGGGATCCCTTCATTTGAAATCCGAGAATGGCCAACGTTGTGGGACAATCGATCATTGTTCATTGTTTGGGAAAATGGTTCTATGGAACCTTTCTGCGTCATGACCTGTATCGACAACATCCTTCCATTGCCGATAGAATATAAAAGGCTAAGTGCAAATTTTGATAGTGGTGGTAGAAGTGGTCGTGGAGGGGGCAAACGTGGAGCTGGCAAAGCAACAAGAAGAGGCCGTGGCCGTGGCCGTGGCCGTCACTGACTGGCATACTTTGGTCAAGGTTTTGGGTATAGTTTTCTGCTGGTATTAGCTAAAAACTTAGAAGTCTTTTGGAAGTCTTTTGGAGAATATGAGTTTAAATCTATAGATTGTCAACAATATAAAAATTTTAACTTTCCAGATTGTTGAAAACAGATTGTTAACATTCAATTAAAATAAAAAAAAATTTAATTTTATATTAAATAAAATTTGTATCCTTAATAAAAAAAATTAGAGTGGTTCAAGAAATGTTAAAAACTTTGTTGATAGATATATTTCATGTGATAAATAAACAGAAGTAAGAGAAAAATTAGGAGAAAAAATCTCACGAATCAAGATATAGAATCTCTCTGATTATGAGAGATTTGATATCCACAGATTTTATAGATTTTAAATCTCTAAAGCTAGAATCCATAATACAGAAAGCAACAAAAAAACATAACTTTCTACAAAATCTACGGATTCAGTGAATCCATGTCCTGAATCCTGTTCTCCAAACGACCCCTTAATGTATTTATATTGCAAGATTTTTTTATTGAATTGACTTCCTTTCGATGTGTGGATTCAGGTGATAAGTTTGTATGGTGAACTCAAATTCAAGAATTACATTTCTGGCGAGAAATATCCTACTTACTTTTTTTTAATTGATGAAGGAATACCACTTAAGTTAATTTAGGCTTAGGGGGTCAGGTCAGTTACCACTTAATTCCAATTTTAGTGTGGCTCAAGATAGGGTGCATAACCATATGCACCAATTAATAAATAAATTTGGACCTTTCATTTAAAAAATTCAGATCTAAGGATGGAGAATTAAATGTCATTTTTATTTTTCCTAACTTTCTTAATCGGCTCATATTTTCTTCGTTTTAACTCGGATTTCTTTTTTTTTTTTTTTTCACAGATGGAACGAGTTCGTTTTGCTCTACAAAACGATATCCATTTTCAATATTTTTGTCTCTCGGTACCAACTGCATACCATATGGTATTTTCTTCATTTTTAATTCGTTTTTGAAAATGTTTGCACAGAAGGAACGAGTTCATCATGATTTATTGGATCTACAAATTTCTGGGAGAACAAATTACAAGACCAAAAAATACGACACAGTACCATACAATACCACCCTGGTACGAGGTGGTATCTTGTGGTACATAATGTTAAGGAATGTTCCTCTTCTGCCGGCTTTTAACTGGATTATGAAAATAAGGAGTGTTCGAATCACCCTCTTTGAGTCAGACTTCTCTAGACTTCTATCGAAAGAAAGACTCTTCAGCCTCTCTTAACTCTTTTGCCTCTTTAGCAAGCCTAAGCTCAACTTCAAAAGTGATAGGAGAAGGGTGCTTTAAGGCCTCAACCTGAGCTTCCAACAATTCTGCCGCCTTTAAACGAACTCTTTCACTTAAATCAGAGTAAACATCTTTATTCAACTGCTTGAGTAACCCTTTGAGGATCTTCAGCTTCTTACAAACACGAACTAAAGGCGACCCTTCTACTTGCACCATCCAAGCCTCCTTAACCAGATCCATAAACCTGGATGCTTGATCCAGAATTTGAAGAACTTAAAAAGCTTTGGCGAAGATTTAACAGAACTATCAGAATTTAGAAGTATTGGACAGTGGTCTGACACTGATGGATCCAACAGATCAACAGTGCTAGAAGTTAAACCCTCGAACCACTTAACATTGACAAACACACGGTCCAGTCTCCTGGCAATTGGGTTACCCAATTGCTTATTCATCCACGTGAACCACGGACCTGATGCCATGTGCTCCTCTAACTCACAGTCAAATTGCCACTGCCTGAAATCAGACATGCTACTAGAGAACTAAGGTGAATTAGAGGCCTCACTTACATCACCAATTGCATTAAAATCCCCCAGCACAGCCCAAGGAGCTGAGCCAACTCCAAAATTTTCCAAATCTTTGTAAAGAACCCTCCTGCCCAGTTCCTCATTTGATGCATAAACCACCGAGAGGAAAAACGGGACTCCTGAAGCAACCATCATATGAATGAACTGATCCGTCTTATGGAGAACAGTGAGCTTAATACCAGACTTCCAAAATAACCATAACTTGCCCAAACCACTAGAATTATTGGACACTTTAGACTCCCAACCTGGAAAACGCTTACTTATCAATTCATCTGCCTTATTTTCTCTAACTCTAGGCTCAAGTATAACTAAGATATCTATATTGTATCTATTAACTAGCTGCCTGACAGCTTTATTCTTATCTGGGTCATTAAACCCCCGGATGTTACAAGTGAGAATCTTCATCTTTTCTTTCCGGCCCTCCCCCCTTTACGAGGAAGAACTGGTGCAACTCGAGATGTAGATGGCTTCTGTTTAGAACTTCCAACAGTAATCCATGGGTTAGGTTCCTTCTCCTTTTCAGCTGCATGTGTCTGAGAAACTACCCTCCCAGAATCTGGTGAGATAGTCCCAACAAACTTTTGTTTCGGTTGACTAGAACTCCCGGCCTGGACTGATGATCCTAGGACAACATCAACAAAACTAGCAGCAGTACTCCCGATAGGCGTAGGAGTAGGAGCTTCCTGTCCACTAAAATCCACCTCCTTCCCTTTGGAAATCAAATCAGTAGACATTAAACTTACCTCAACATTCCCATTATCCACTTCAGTTTGCACTACCACATCTTCAACAGAAGCGTCCTGAACAACTTTGTCAATTCCCTGTTCAGCATTTGTAGAGATAGGATCAGAAGACTTGTTTGCCCCCTTAATGACCCACTTCTTATTACTATTTGCCAAGATTGAACAATCATGGCCATACACTTGACAGTGCGAGCACACCCTAGGCAGATTCAGATACTCAATAGCCACATCAAAAAATGGATCATCATCAGGATAGAGACGAACCTTAGAGGAGAATCCACACTCCGCCGAAAGATCCACACACACCTTAGCAAACCCCAACTATCCTCCCACCCTGGTAGTTTTATCCATCCAGAGAGGTGGACCCAGAGTACTAGCAATCCACTCCAAACCATTAATCGAATGATATTCAAGTGGAATACCCCAGATTGTCACCCAAAAGTGATTCTACCAACGGAGTCACTGGTTGAATTCCTGGAGACCATTTCCGGAGGTAAAGTTGATTACCCTGGTAATGCCACGGACCTGATCGAAAAATCCACTTACTTGTAGACGAAGAGGGAAACTGAAACACCAACATACGAGACCCAAAACGCGAAACACGGACAATACCATCTCTCCCCCAAATTGCAGTAGCCCAGGTCTGAAGCTGAGCCACCTTAGGTTGAGCACCAACAAACTGCCCTATGAGGCAATCTCGCCAGCGCTCTTCCCCCATTTTCTTCACCTCCCGAGGAATTCGAAATCCATCATTCACACGCTGTGGAGAACGAAACTTCATCCTATTCTCCTGAGGGATATCAAACAGCTGAGCCCAAGTACTTACCCCAGAGCCCTTGCTCGTCGTCAGAGCAAATTCCGACGACGAGGCCGCCATCGCAAATATTACGCAAAAACCCTAGGGAAAGAGGAGAGAGCAAGGAGGGAATAAAATTAATTACGTCTCACAAGTTTTCCTTTTGCATTCAACTTTTTGGAAAAAGAAAGAAGAGGGAAATTTGGTTTCATGGATTTTTTAGAAAAGAAACAAGGGGGATTTTGCTGGTTTTGATTTGTGAAAAGAGAAAGAAGTGGGAAAGTTTGATTCTTTTGATTATGAAAGAGAAATAAGGAGGGAAACTTTGAGTTTTCAACTTTTGTGGAAGGAAGGAGGAAAGAGGGAAATTTTGTTCTTCAATTTTATGGAAGAGAAAGAAGAGGGAAAATTGAGTGTTTCTAATTTATGGAAGGAGAATGAATGAGGAGAATTTTTGTATTTGTTTTGTGAAAAGGAAGAAGGAAACAAATTTGGTGTTTTCAATTTTTTTATTTTTAAAAAATTTAACCTTTGAAATATGAATATTTAATATTTATATGGAGAGCATGACTAATTAAATTTATTCTTATATGCTTTGAAGGCTAATATATATGTGCAATTGTTTATGATCTAATAACTATATTAACTATTAGTTACAACAATAATTTGTTTTAGAAAAATTCATTTAATTTGTCTACTTGTTTTCTATGCTTCTACATTCATTGCAACTTCAACACTACATTATTGTTATTTTACAACACTTAGTAAAATTTTTGGCACATTTAAGTTGTCTTTGAGTTGAACTTTTATTTCAAAATGGGGGTTAAACTTGGCCTGTTAATTCATACGATTGCAATAACTCAGTCAAGGTGCGGTTTTGAAAATTTTGGTTAATCGGGTTGCGGGTCAGTTTGGAATGGAAAATGAGAGGGAGGTTTGGGTGGGAAGTATATGGTTAGGGTATAAGGTACAGATAGTTTAGGGAGTATATGGTTAGGGTATAAGGTATTGATGGTTTTGACGGTTCTAAGTTTATATTAACATATGTTCACCTGAAGTCATTTGAAGTCTTTAACGGCAGGAGATCCCTTTTTAATTTATGTTTATGGTACGTGGTTAGGGTACAGGGTATATGGTGTAGAGTATAGGATATATGGTTAGGGTATAGCAAATATCACTTTTTTATCTATTTTTTGAAAATCAAAGTATGAATTTCACTTTAAATTAACTATACTAGCAAAATCACAACTCATAAAGATATATGCTTAGGGTATAGGCCATAGGGTATGTGGTTAATGTATAATGTATTGATGGTTTAGAGTATACGATCATTAACATATACTAACTTAATATTATCGAATGAGGGTAATGCTGAGTGTATAGGATATATGTTATTGAGTAAGTTATTATTGAAGTCACAACAGTTTTACTAAATTTGATAGTTAATCTTTAATGGTTCAGTTTTTAGGGTAATTCGAATAATTTTACAAATAACTCGTTTGGCAACAATTTACTGAAATTATTTGGGGAATGAGTTATTTCGAAATAACTCCTTCTACAACTCTGCTTTTGCCAAAAACCACACGCTAGATACCAGATTTGCATGGTTATACTAAACGAGATACTTTAATCCAATTATTACTGAAATAATACTAAAATATCAAATAAACCATAAATGGTGTCTTTTGGTTGCAAATGTTGATATCACCATTACTATTAGCTAGTGTACTTTACCAATTACGATTAATTACATAACAATTTGCAAGTCATACAAATTGATTCCACATTTTGACTAGTTTTTTTTTAATTAAGTGTATATACGAGGTAGAAAGAAATTGGTTAAAATTTGTAAAAAATATTTTAAATTAGTAAAATGTCTAAGTTGGTAACGAGTAAGGAGTAAGTTACTCGATGTGCTGACCCGAACAACCCTTAACCCGATCCACCCGCAACCTACCCGAAACCCGATGGACCAGAACCCGATTTGCCCGCAACCCGATTGAACCCGAACCCGATGAACCCACAACCTGACTAACCCGTAAACCGTTTGAACCCGAACCCGATGAACCCGAACCAGATAAACCCGCAACCCGATGAACCCGAACCCGATAAACCCGCAACCCGATGAACCCGAAACCCAACTAATCCGCAACCTAATTGAACCCAGCCCGAACCCGCCCGAACCTGCCCGATTGACACCTATATGCCCATCCCCTTCGGTCGTTGCTGCCAAACCTTTAACGATGGAAGGCAAAATCAACGCCGCTCTCGACCAACTCCGTCTCTATGATTCCATAGTGGCATCCCTAATGGATTTTCTACCTTTTTTATACGAGGAGAAATCCGTCTTGCGACGGGATTTTCTACATTTCCTGCCCTCTGTTGTTTGTTTTTGGTTGTCAAAATCATTTTGGTATGTTCTTTAGCTCTTTAATAACGGAACATGGGCGTTGGCTTTGTATGTTAGAATGGATGGTCGTGACTTAGGTAACCAGTTCCTGGAGTGGGAGCGAGAGCGTGAAAGCGTCTAAATGATAAGAATTCAATATTGAAAGCGTAAATAAAATGTTATTATTATATTATTCAACTAATATAATATATGTTTATATTGTAAATAATATAAAATTATTCAAAATACTGAGAACAAAATGAAGAAAAATCTAATATAATACAATTTATATAGACACAAGTAATGATAAAGGATGAATACTCTTTTGCAATTTAATTTAATTTTAATAATAATTCTAATATATATTCCATAACTATTTTATTTTTCATTTCATTATTTCCGATTCTAATTTTT